TGATTGTGCCAGGTGTGGGAATTCTGGGATTAGATGTATTTCCTGATGCATCATTAAAAATAATCTGGGATTAGACAGATATTCTTCCCCAAAATAACACATCTCTGTCTCTGCTTCTCTCCGTCGGCAGTGGGACCTCTCTCTGTCTGTCCCTCTCTCTGCCTTGCAGATTTTCGAGCGCAGACGACAGCTTAATTGGCGTGAAGATTAATTGTACCGTTGCCAATGCAGGACCAGTAACTGTCCTCTCTCTCTCAGTTCTGCCAGTTCTTCCAGAGCCCCAAGTTCCCAGACTCCTTCACCGGTACCGGACCCCTGAACCCTGAGGTGGGCCGCAGACTGCTGGACCAGCTGCGATCCCACTGCCTTAACACCAGCCAGGACTCGGACGACCTGACCAGGTGGGTGTGCTCAGGCGTGGTTGATAACCCACAGTGTGGCCCTAGTGCTGGGCCAGTGTCCCGTCTTCACAAGTTAGAAAACTGAAGCAAAAGCATCAGACTGTGAGGCATTTTTTGTAGTTTATTATAAAACCTTTGAATTTGACATTTATCTTCCCCTCTCTCTCCTCTGACTCCTTCCCTCTGTCTCTCTATACCTCCCTCCCTCTCTCTCCTCTTTCCCTCTCTCCTCTCCTCCCTGCCTCTCCCTCTCCCTCACCAGGCTGGGCTCTCTGACCTGTTTCTATGATGATCTTCAGCCCCCCAGTGACTCTCTCAGCCAGAAGATTCTGTCTCACCTCCAAGTCTGTAACAACTCGAGAATTGACAAGGTCCGTATCCCCGCCCTGCGCTCCTACTGCTGTGATAATCCCTCCCTCCTGAGAGACCTCTCCGTGTTTCTGCCCTTGCAGGTCAAGCAGCTTCTGGTGAAGAAGGTGTTGGGCTCTGGGCCTGTGACCCAGCAGGTCCTGCAGTCTCTGGGCTCAGTGGCGTCCTCTCTCTCCGTGTACCAGCTGTCCAACCTGAATCTGTCCAGCATCAGGGACAGCCTGTCCTCCCTAGGGGCTTTGCGCTGGAACCCTGCGCAGGCCAAGGCCCTGGCTAATAAGCTGATGCAGGACGTTAAGGTCAGTGTTTCACAGTGCCCTTCCCTCTCTCTCACCCCTCTTTCTCACACTGTATCACCCCAGTCTCTCTCTCACCCCTCTGTCACACTGTATCACCCCAGTCTCTCTCTCACCCCAATCTCTCTCACACTGTATCA